GTTGATCTCAGTGTCTGTGCTACTGGTATTATGTTCAGGAAATGGTCTCCTGTACCGATTAATTGAAGGGTATTTCCCACTTTATCTTCTAGTAGGTTCAGTGTGGCTGGGTTTATGTTGAGATCTTTGATCCATTTTGACTTAAATTTTGTGCAGGGCGAAAGGCTTGGGTCTATCTGTAGTCTTCTACATGTTTGCATCCACATACTGTGGTGTTTTAAATCATCCAGAGTAACAAGCACAGAAATTTGATGTTTATTAACAACACACAATATTTTACCTAAAATATTTAATGTATACCAACCATAGCTGTAGACACAGTAAGAAATAAATATAAAGATTTCTTTATTAACTCTCAATTTAATAATGCAGTTATTTTGCCCTATTATTTCACTTCATCTTTCAATGTTATGGCATTAATATTTAACCAATATTACTTTAACTATAGACATGATTTATTTTCACACTTACAGAGAAAAGAAAACTATTCTCTTAAGGCCTTTTACTTTCATCAGCTCTTGCAGTTTCTCAGCCCTCATTCCATCCAATATATTAAAAAAAAATCACAAGCCAGGATCACTAATAGTGGGAACAGGTAGTGTTTTGCTTTCAGAGCCTGAAAATTACCTCATTTAATAATAATATATTCCGGTCTTATTTATTTTTAACAGATTTTATTTTTTTATTGCTGAGTGAAGTTTTATTGTGTATATGTCACGTTTTCTTTATCCATTCATGTGTTGATGGAAATCTAGGTTAAATTTATTTCCTTGTTGTTTTGAAAAGATTTTCATAGTGGCTACACAAGTTTTCCCTCTTATAAACAATGGCTGAGCACCCTTTTCCCCAGCAGCATTTGTTTTCATTTTCTTTATTGATGAGACCCACTTCAGCTATGGTAAGATGTGATCTCAAAGTAGTGTTAATTTGCATTTTCCTAATAGCTAAGGATATAGAACACTTTACAGAACATTTGTTTGCCATTTGTGTTTCTTCCTTTGAGGACTGTCTCTTCAGTTCATTGGTTCATCTATTGACAATTTTGATTTTTAAGTTTTTTTATTTTTATATTATCCTCTATCTGAAATATAGCTGGCAAAGGTTTTATTCTATTGTGTAGGCTTTCTGCATTTTAAAGCTTGATACTGTGTTTCCTCCTGCTTGGTTTTCTTCAAAATTGCCTTGACTACTTGTAGTACAGTTTTATTTTTTATCCCATTCTCTCTTTCTTCTCCCTTTCCTCCTTCCCTCCCTTTCTTTCTTCCATTTGCCTCCTTCTTTTTTGAAGAATCAGAAGTGTTTCTTTTTATTCTTAGACAATTCCATACATGTATGTACTGGCTTTTAAGGGGTCATTTTCATACCAATTACTCCTTTTATGCTTCTCCCTCTCCCACGGAAATACTATTTCTTCCCAACAAATCTTCCTCTTATGGGTTTTAATATGTATGATATATTGAATTTCATTATAATTTCTTGCCCAAGTATAGGAAGGAATTTGCTTACTAGACCAAGGACTACTTACCAAGTGACAGCAACACTGAAGAAGCTGACATCTACAACCCCAGTACCCATTAACCACCAATAGTCCTTCAGTGACATGTTAAGTTTCATGAGCCCCTCTCCTTTGCAGGATGATATGGTGATGCAAATTTTGTTCTGGTAAGCACAGCCTTAGTGAGTTTATGAGTGTAATGGCCATGTCCTTTCCAGAAGACACTGTTTCTCAGCATTCCTCTTTAGTCTTTGGCTCTTACCTTCTTTGTGCTTATGGATCAGGTAATAATACATATGTCACGTAGGGTAGATTATTCTGTAATCACTGATTTTGTGCACTTTGAACAGTTGTGAGTCTTTGAACTAAGTGCCTCCCATTACAAAAGAAGATTCTCTTTCAAAGACTAAGAATAGAGCTAGTCTATGGATGCAAACATACATCATAAAGGGCAGTTTGACAGGATTGCCATTTAACAAAACAACATTAACAACTAGCTTCTCTAGAACCTCCTCAGATTAACAGTACCAGGTATGAGGTCCCTTCTGTGGAGTGGGCCACAAATCCATTTTTTT